ACACAAATGTGCATAAAAAAAATTGGACATATATAAAAAAATGAATACAGATTTGTGTGATGTCGACTGGACTAGTCTTTTCAAATATCTCTATGCTGAATAATAAATATTAAAATATCAAAAATTAATTAAAAACAAACTATATAATATCTATCTATCTATTGTATCTATCTTGCTTACTGATTAAAATAAATTAGACATATACAACCCATCAAAATTTGGGGTCAGATTATTTTTTATTTATTTATTTTTCTTCCAGCAAAACATTTATTAATTTTGACAAAAAAAGTGAAAGACATTTATGTTGCTAAAAAATTATACATTTTATGATGCTTCAATCCTGAAAAATATGCACCACAGTTTCCATTAAAAAAAGCTGTTTTTAACACTGATGGTAATAAAAAATGGATTTCTGAAGGTATGTGTGTGTTGTCAAATGATTAGTGCTGTCAAACTTTTTGTTTACATAATAAATATACACAGCACACACGCATATATTATGTATATATAAATACACATGCATGTATATATTTAAGAAAAATGTTGTTTATACATTTAAAATATTTATATATAATATCAATTACATGAACATAAATATATACATGGAAATATTTTCAAAATATACAGTGTATGTGTGTGTATTTATATATACATAATAAATATACACAGTATACACACATTATGTAAACAAAAACGTTTATTTTGGATGTGATTAATCACTTGACAGCACTAATATATATATATATATATATAGCTGATTTTTATATTCATTTTTCTGTTTAGTGAAGGCATTACAACAGATTTTGTACAGACCCACTGCTAAGAGTTTTGAATGAAAGCTGAAACATCCTGCATCAACAGAACAACAAATTACTGCAGATGTCAACTGAATTCTATCAGATATTCAACAATCACCTGAGTGAAAGAAAAACTGCACAGACGTTTCACAGTGTTGTTAAAAAGTTTGGGTGGTTAGAGCAAGCTTTAAATTATGTTCTTCAAGCTGTGACCCTGAAATAAACAGCAGAGACAGTTGCTCTGAAGTTCCTCTCTCATGAGCACAAGTTCATCTTTGATGCTGAGAGACAAACTATGTTTTGAATGCAAAGAGAATGGGGTTAAAGACATGCTACAATGCTTACACACACACACACACACTGCATAGACATATGCTTTGTTTAGTCAAGCATAATCTCTTGTCAGTGCTTCCTAGCATGTAGAGTGTAACGCATTCTGTCTTAGACTATCAGTAAAGAATGTAGTTCCTCTGTCCTGTGGCTTATACACTGAGAATGTACTAAAGTCAATATGTTATGACAGCACTGGAGGCAGAGAAGATAAATGTAGACATGGCAAGAAGCAGTGTACAGTAAATATCTTAATCATTCCTAAACAGTAGGTGTACTGAAACATTGATTTATAACAATGTACAACTAAGAAGGGAAAGTTTGCCAAGATTTTCTCTAAAGGTACTAGAAAGAAAGGAAAATAAGTGTTTAAAGTGTTAAAAATGTAAAAGTTTGGGGTGTGCATTTCTATTCTGGAAAAAAAAATGTATCCACAAAAATATTAAGCAACACCACTGTTTTCAGTGTTGCTTATAATAATAAACATTTATTGAGCAGCAAATCAGCATATTAGAATGATTTCTGAAGGATCATGTGACACTGAAGACTGGAGTATAGAGGCTGAAAATCAGCGTTGCATCAGAGGAATAAATTACATTTTAAAATGTATTCCAATTTAAAACAACTATTTTAAATTGTAATAATATTTCACAATATATTGTTTCATTTTTAAGTTTAATATTAAAATAACCACAACAAGTGAAGCACTTTTGCACTTCTTTGGGATAAAAAGAACAGTGCTTCATGATCACTAGTACAATCAGTTAGAAAATACATGACAATCTGAATCAGAACAGGCTGATAGTGTGAACAGAGTTTGCTGGATGTGAATCGAAAGGAACTCAACTTCATTGATATCTACAATATTTAACCATGTACAGCCAATGAATAGTCTCCAAATACACAACTTTACACTTTGCTGAATGGTTGTCTTGTTGCATAGTCAAAATCCATGGTGATAAACTTTTAGGATCCCAGGATCTCTCCAATGAAAACAAATGAACATTTTTATGAGTGCCAATACAATACTTAGCAGCAAAAGCCTTCTTCTACATGACAAAAAAAAAAAACAGCTGAGTGCTAAACATTCAATATACTCTCCCAAGTTTAAACTAAAGACCTGCCTGCTCTATCACGCATTCAATGATCCATCACACAGTACATGGATCATGATGCCTTCATTCACCTCTGCCATCCTCTACACCCAAAAGAAGTTTGAGCAGCCTTGTTTGCACTGTAGATGTCTCTTTTGCACTTTTTGTCAAATATTTACCCACTACCTTTCTATATTTGTGTACTCCTCCTTGGGGTTCAGTAATTCGATTTGGAAAATTTGAACCTGCCATTTCAAAACCAAAGGCTGTAGGAACATATCAGAGCTATAGATTTAAAGATCAAAGCAATGGTGGGAAAAATGAGTTCAAAACAATGGCTGGCCCCTGAGAAATTACAATGAAAAAAAAATGGAAGTGATAATGAACAAAAGATACAGAGACAACCACCAAAATAATTCAACTCCCTGGGGTGAAGAGGATCATTATTCACAGAGCACACAAACAAACTAAAAATGGAGTCAAAGAGATACAACATCTATTAAAACGGGTGCAGGGAAACTTCAGCATCCATTAAAACTTGTCCAGTTCTGTGTCTCTATAATTGTGTGAAATGCTTTACTATAATTCTGAAGCTATTAAAGCGGACACATACCATAAGCTAATGTACTGTACTGTAGGGCTGCACGATAAATCGAAAAGGAATCGAAATCGCGATTCGACAGAAGCTGCGATTGTCATGCGTGCGTATCTTTCAGTGAAGCACGGTTCTGTGATCAGCAGTAAATCTCCATCCAAAGGCCAGAGGGCGCTCTCACGCTGAAACTCCCAACACGCCTCGCAGAAGAAACCCAGAAAATGCCTATATAGAAAATGTAACTGCTTTTATTGATACTACGTGACTAATAAACATTTTATAAACACCTTATTCTGGGTAAGAAGCCACATCATCTCACAGAAGGATTTATTTCAAACACTCGACTGACGTTATGAAGTGAGTTTGGAGTAAAAATGTTATTAAATGTGGTATTTTCACATGCTTTCAGATGGAGCAGCATTTACAACACAGAGAAGCTATGCAAACAGCTGTCATTATCGCAAAATATTTCTTCGATTTCATAATCAAAGGGTATTATGTATGCATATTTTATTTAATTATTCACACATAACATTTATTATTTTTGCTAATATTATGTATAGTATTGATACATTTGATCAAAAATGTAAAAAATGTGATAAACATAAGACAAATGTATACAAAAATATAATATACATATAAAAACTAATTTAGAGAAAATATATAAATAAATATTTTTTTGTTTAGTTATATTACTATTAGATATTAGAATTATTAGCATTAATATGATCATAGAAATGTGGCACAATGTGACATTCACAGCTACTATGATAACTGTGGTTTAAATATTCAATTATGATCAAAATAATTTTGGACCAATGATATTTTGCTGTGGGTGGGGCTACCCAGTTTGACACCACATAAATGGAAATAAAGCAACCGACTAAACGCGCTGTCTTTTCACAGGTAGCTAGGACAAAATCACAGATTTACATCTCTAAAATATATTTTAGTGCTTGAGAGACCTGCATTTATCCATATAACTATTAAAACATCCCTTTCATTATTCTGGTATAGCCTAGCAGTTAAAGATCCAGGCTGGAAATCAAAGCCAGCTAAGGCTGATTCTTCAGCCTGCCTGCCCTTGATCAAGGCACTTAACCTGAGGCGACTCCAGAGGGACCGTCCCTGTGTCTTAACATGACATTGCTCTATGGCGATGTTGCATGAAAGAACATAAAGCGAGCTCAACTGGCCCCAGTTGTGTGGCGATAAATAATGAGCCTCAGTTTTATTCCCCTGGGCTCCAGAGTGGCTTTACGGTCTCTTTCTCTCCCAGCTATCCTAGACATCACAAAACCCAAAACAGATCTAGGCAAAACCTTCATAATGAAGCACAAAGAGATGAATGCTGCAATCATCAGCCACTGATAGATGACGGGAATAGAGCTCACTTTAGATGGCAGCCGCTGCTCTTTAACAAAATATCATAACATTTGATATAAACTTGGCACTAGCTGTAACCATTTTATGGCACATCTAGTCTCTTTAAAAGGTTTCAACGCTTCAAAAACGATTACGGCTTCAACTGGGAAGAAATTTCAAATCTTTCCTCAGTAAAAGCGCTAATACATCAAAACACTAAAATACGTTTGAACAGCTATTTAGACTTAAGCACTCAATAACCGTGATGTTTAAGCTAACTGGATCCAAAAACAACAGGGAAAGACAGGAAAGCATCCAATTCACTCATTCATCCACTTGCTTATGTTATATCTGTTAGCACATATCAAAACCTGAAACTGACACACTTGACATTTCATACTGCTCAAGTGACTCATCAGTTCTGTAATCTGCAAGACAGAATTGGGCAACCTGTCAACAGTGGCTCTTTTTTCTAAACCTGGTGAGGTATCTATGTAGGCAGCCTTTCAAGGCATCAAAAGGTGCACTTCCAAAACGAAGTCGGTTCAAAAGGTACGTAGCATGATTGTGTTGCCTTCTGTAACAAAAGCTCAGGCAGAGCGAAGTTATAGAACCCAAGTGCAACAGTTGGAAACGAACAAACTACAAAGCAAAAAGCCAAAAATATCAAACAACAAACAAGGAACCAGAATAAGCCAAAGAATACACAATGATTGACCAAAGGGCCTACAATACAAGCACATACTGCAACACTTAAGTACAATGCTAGACAAGTATCTGTGAGAAACACTAGAATGTTTGTGTGTGTATATGCATTACCTGAACGCAGCTAGCATTAGTATTAGCATTCATCTCAATGGTAGATCTCAGAAGCACATGGCTTGCATGCTGCCATCTTTGTTCACAGGCACATTTTGGAGGTGCTGGGAAATTGCAATGCTGATTGGCTGATGGTACCACAAGAATGTGAAAAGGCCTTCACTAGTGACAGGGAAGAATCTACTTCATGCTTTTAAGGATCCATAATATGGGTACCAGTAAAATGTATACTTTTATATAATGAAATGTTGCATTTTATTTTTATTTTGTCAGAACACAGTGCTGACTGGCCATCAGTGACAAAATATGATTTTATCAGTGTAACGTTAGAATAGTTTACAGCATTTACCAGCAGGTGCTAAACTCTCATTGCTAAACTTTTGGTAGATATACACATGCTAATGAGGGCAAACAAGGAAAAGGTGTAAATAAAGAAGACTACGCCAGAAACAAGGAAGCAAAATAGAACAATGAGATGCTTTCGAAATAAGAGCATGATGCAGCAGAGAACATAAAACACCAGGGGGCTGTTTCATAAAACAAGTTTACCGAATAAGCCAGGCTTATTTCAGTTAGTCTGACTTATTGTCACTTGATTTGGTTTCAGAAAGCAAATTTACCATAGCTCAAGCTCAGTCACTGTGGCAACTTATGCTGGGAAACTAACCTGAGGCCCGTTCTTCTTACTTTGCTAACTCAGTTAGCTGGATTTGATTGTTGACGATTTGGCATTTTCTTGGTTTGTTTGGTTCTTCGAAGCTCATCCCGGAGTTGCTGTTATAGCAACAGGTCCGTAAGCTTAAACCTGCTCGGGAGCAGGTTTATTTCATGTAAACAGGATTAGATTGCATCTTTTTGGCAGATTTGATACTTAAAATCTGTCCCAACCACTGCTACTTTATTACAAGAGTATCCTACTGATCCAGGGACAATAAATTAAAATTATAATAATTTAAAAATTAATTTGAAAATAATGTTGTGTAGTCTATAATACTTTAGACACAGCCGGTTTTACTAATTGAAAGATTTATTAGTGATGAAATAATTACTTTATAATTGTATTAGAGTCTTACACACATGCTGTACAGTTAATCTGAGTCGTGCATTAATATGAGTGGTGACAGCTATTATGGCAGTGGCTTGATGGAGCACAGGAGATGCAGATAACTTGATCTTTCTTGACCCTTAATAAACTTTAGTTAATGCTGTCACGTAACAAATCTGCTTCAAAGATCAAATTAAATGATATAGAACCCAAGTGCAACAGTTGGAAACGAACAAACTACAAAGCAAAAAGCCAAAAATATCAAACAACAAACAAGGAACCAGAATAAGCCAAAGAATACACAATGATTGACCAAAGGGCCTACAATACAAGCACATACTGCAACACTTAAGTACAATGCTAGACAAGTATCTGTGAGAAACACTAGAATGTTTGTGTGTGTATATGCATTACCTGAACGCAGCTAGCATTAGTATTAGCATTCATCTCAATGGTAGATCTCAGAAGCACATGGCTTGCATGCTGCCATCTTTGTTCACAGGCACATTTTGGAGGTGCTGGGAAATTGCAATGCTGATTGGCTGATGGTACCACAAGAATGTGAAAAGGCCTTCACTAGTGACAGGGAAGAATCTACTTCATGCTTTTAAGGATCCATAATATGGGTACCAGTAAAATGTATACTTTTATATAATGAAATGTTGCATTTTATTTTTATTTTGTCAGAACACAGTGCTGACTGGCCATCAGTGACAAAATATGATTTTATCAGTGTAACGTTAGAATAGTTTACAGCATTTACCAGCAGGTGCTAAACTCTCATTGCTAAACTTTTGGTAGATATACACATGCTAATGAGGGCAAACAAGGAAAAGGTGTAAATAAAGAAGACTACGCCAGAAACAAGGAAGCAAAATAGAACAATGAGATGCTTTCGAAATAAGAGCATGATGCAGCAGAGAACATAAAACACCAGGGGGCTGTTTCATAAAACAAGTTTACCGAATAAGCCAGGCTTATTTCAGTTAGTCTGACTTATTGTCACTTGATTTGGTTTCAGAAAGCAAATTTACCATAGCTCAAGCTCAGTCACTGTGGCAACTTATGCTGGGAAACTAACCTGAGGCCCGTTCTTCTTACTTTGCTAACTCAGTTAGCTGGATTTGATTGTTGACGATTTGGCATTTTCTTGGTTTGTTTGGTTCTTCGAAGCTCATCCCGGAGTTGCTGTTATAGCAACAGGTCCGTAAGCTTAAACCTGCTCGGGAGCAGGTTTATTTCATGTAAACAGGATTAGATTGCATCTTTTTGGCAGATTTGATACTTAAAATCTGTCCCAACCACTGCTACTTTATTACAAGAGTATCCTACTGATCCAGGGACAATAAATTAAAATTATAATAATTTAAAAATTAATTTGAAAATAATGTTGTGTAGTCTATAATACTTTAGACACAGCCGGTTTTACTAATTGAAAGATTTATTAGTGATGAAATAATTACTTTATAATTGTATTAGAGTCTTACACACATGCTGTACAGTTAATCTGAGTCGTGCATTAATATGAGTGGTGACAGCTATTATGGCAGTGGCTTGATGGAGCACAGGAGATGCAGATAACTTGATCTTTCTTGACCCTTAATAAACTTTAGTTAATGCTGTCACGTAACAAATCTGCTTCAAAGATCAAATTAAATGAATTGCTAATTACAACATTGAAATAAAAATGTAAAACCTGTACAAACACTAGAAATCGTGAATATAAATAATTGGGAAAAATACAAATAAAAGAAAAATTTGTATTTGCGCTTGACTGTTTCCTTATAAAGGTCCAGAATTTTGTCAACTTTTTCGTCAGGTGTCTTTTTTAATTATATGATGTCATTACGTTGCTGTCTTGCCGTCAGCCAATTGCTGCATTGCTGATCGTGATTTCGAGTATCGATACATCTGCCCTTTTCGAGGAACACCAGAACGTGCAGTAATCTTAGACAACTTAATCTAGATATTTTAATCAAATCCGTAAATTCGTTTGAAGAACCAAATTACCAGAAATCAGTTATCACGATTACAAGATTTGAAATCTTTCAATTCATCTCAGATGCGACGTACAAAGAACGGGCCCCTGGTCCGGAGCAGGCTAACTGTCAGGCTAAGCCAGACAAACACTGACCAATCAGAATGCATTGATATTACCACTGACCCTCTCACATACAATTAAAAATCAGGGCTCTGAACCGGTTCAAGGAACGAGAACGAAAACGAAAACTGGAAACGAACGAAATTTTGAAAGGAACATAATCCCCCCC